CCCTTGCTGAGTTACCGATTCTGCTCGTGATCTTACTGGACTTGTATTTCCTGTATTTATAATTTCTTCTGTATCTATATGATAGTCTGGCAAATGTGTGTTAAGTGACCATTGCACCCTTGTATCTTCACCGATTTTCCTCAGTTGGTTTACATGTCGAGTCCATTTCCTACCATCGTCTAGTTCGATTATGTAGTGTATGTCTCCTATTCTTTTTACTACTTTTCCAAATAGCCATGTTTCTTGTCTACCGTAGTTTCTGCCTGCAATTCTTTCTCCCACGGTGAATTCTTTTGAAATTTGATCTTGACGTACGCGTCTTGTTGGTGTAGTTGGTCTTAATAGGTCTAGTTTAGTTCGTACTTTTTTGTTGAACATGAGTTCATACGGAGTTTTTCCCGTAATCGTATGAGGTATACCTCTGTAACTCGTGAGTATGGAGAGTAATGAACTTTCCATTTCAGATCTTTCTGGACTCAACTTTTTTAATGCGCGTTTAATGATCTGTACGTATCTTTCTGCTTGTCCATTTGTCGAAGGATTGTATGGTGCTGTTGTTTTGTGCACAATGCCATTCTTGGCTAGGAAATCTTTAAATTCCTTTGCTACGAACGTTCTTCCGTTGTCCGTAATGATCAACTTTGGTAATCCGAAGTATGCAAAAATTTGTTTGCACTTTTTAATTGTAGTTTCGGTCGTGATATTTTCCACAATGTGCACTTCTGGCCATTTTGAGTACGCGTCGACAAGTATGAAAAACATTTTTCCAAGAAACGGTCCCGCGAAATCCACATGTACTCTTTCGAAAGGACTTGTTGGTTGTTCCCATGTATGTTTTTCCACTTCTGCTGGATTATTCTTGTACGTATTGCACTCTGCACAGCTTTTTGCAATCTCTTCTATGTCTTTGGTTATATTCGGCCACCAACAGTAGCCTCTCGCGAGATTCTTCATTTTGGAGATTCCAAAATGACCTTGATGCAACTCCTCCAGTACTTCCTTCCTCAAACTTTTGGGGATGACTACTTGATGTCCACGTATTAATACCCCGTTCTCGATGGCGAACTCTCTTTGGTCTATGTTCCATCTGTCTTTGGCTTTAAGCGTAATACTGTTCCTTAATGCATCTAAAACCTTACTTATTTCTAAGTCTTTACTTGTAGCTTTGATCACTCTTTCTGCCGTAACAGGTAAGCTATCAAATGTGTCAATGAAGAATGCATCAATAGTGTCTCTGTTTGAACTGTCTTCCGGCAATGGAAGTCTGGATAAACAATCGGCATTCGCATTTTGTTCCGATTTCTTATATTTAATTTCAAAAGTATAAGCTTGTAAAAAGATAGCATAATGTTGCATTCTCATTGCCGCATGTACAGGTAAACTCTTTGTCGGCGACAAAATTTGTGTAAGTGGTCTGTGGTCAGTCACTAAAGTGAATTTATTTCCAAATAGATATTGGTGTAGTCTTTTAATCGCGTAAACTATGGCAAATGCCTCTTTATCTATTTGAGAATATTTCCTCTGACTTGTAGACAGACTTTTTGAAATGTATTGGATGGCTCGCTCACTGCCATCCGGATATTTGTGTGACAAGACTGCCCCAATACCGTATGGGCTCGCATCCGTCGCTAAAATTAAAGGTAATTTTGGGTTGTAATGTGCCAAACAGTTCTTATTCTGAAAAGCTTGTTTTGCGCGTATGAATGCATCTTCGCACTCTTTAGACCAGAAAAATTTATTGTTTCCGCGTAATAATTTGTAAAACGGTTCTAACAATATCATTGCATCTTTTATAAATCTACTGTAGTAGTTTATAAATCCTACGAAAGCTCTTACTTCGTGAGTATTCTTAGGTCTAGGCATCTTTTCGATGGCTTCAATTTTTGTATCATCTTTATGTATACCGTTTCTATCTATTACGTATCCACAATATTTTATCTGATCTCTGAAAAATTCACATTTTTCCGTATTTATTTTAATATTGTATGTATTTAGTCTTTCAAATACTTGTTGAAGTCTTTTTAGATGTTCTTTTTTTGTAGGAGCCGTAACTTTAATGTCATCTAAAAACACTTCGACACCTTCTAACCCAGCGAGTATATTCTCTATTTCTCTTTGCCAAATTGCAGGAGCAGAGGCAATTCCGTACAATAACCTTTTGCATTTGAATAACCCCATATGTGTACTTAAAGTCAGCAGTTCCGCGCTTTTGTCGTCTACTGCCATTTGTAAATAGGCTTGTTTTAAGTCAATCTTTGAAAAACACGTGCCTCCAGCCATAGACGAAAATAGAGTTTCAATGCTTGGTAAAGGATGCTCATCGACAATGAGTTGCGGATTTACCGTAATGCTAAAATCTCCGCATATACGAATTCTATTATTCTTCTTTAATACTGGAACGATTGGTGTCGCGTAGTTTGATGTATCGACCTTTTCCAAGATTCCTTCTGCTACCAGCAATTTGATTTCTTTCTCAACTAACTCTTTTATTTTGAAAGGAACCGGGCGAGCTTTTATAAAGATAGGCTTCGAATTTTCCTTTAACGTCAATTTGGCTTCTATGCCCTTAATTTTTCCCAAATTTGAATCTGTAATATTTTTGTATTTATTAAGTAGATTTTTAATCTCTACTTCCATATTATCTTCTAACGAGTTTACTTCTGATGTAGGAACAAATAATGTATCTGCGCAATTACCATGTAATAACTGATGCAACCACTCCCTACCTAAAAGGGGAGCGCGTTCCACTTCCGTTAAATATAAATTTAATATGTAATTTGTATTCGCGAACTTAACATTAACAGTAATAAAACCTACTACTTCTACTTGATTTTTACAATATGTAACTAACTTAATTTCAGTCCTGTGTATTACTTCACCTTTAAACAGTGACCTAGCTTGTTCTTTATACATTACAGTAACAGCTGCTCCACTATCGATTTCGAAGTCCACTAGTCTATCGTTGACCCTCAGTTTGGTGTAGAATTTCCCTCTCTGGTCCGTATGTTCCAGTTGTAGGATCTCTTCAATACTATTTGTATGCACATCCTCCAATTGGTAAGTGCCTTGCTTCTTCTTGAAACAAACTGTAGCAATATGTCCTTGCGTTCCACACGCATTACATTTGACATTTTTGTTAAGTGTGCAATTTGTGGCGTAATGTTTTTTTCCACATCTGTAACACTTAACCGCTTTGTACGTATGAGTACTCTTTGCTTGTTTATCGGTTGTAAATCTGCCCGGCTGAGCGTATTGGTTCTTTCTTGTATCCACTGATTTCGTATTTTTCTTCTTATGATTTGTTTTATCAGCATGTAAATACTCCACAGAACTTGTATTATGACGCAATTGTTTTACCTCCTTTTCCGTTAGTTCCATGGCTGATGCAATTTGTACAGCTTTTTCAAGCGTTAAATCTTTTGTTTCCAGAAGTCTTTGACGTATCCTTTCATTATGTAACCCTTGTACCAATTGATTGCGAATTGCCGTATCCAGAAAAGTACCGAAATTGCAGTACTTACTTAATCTTTTTAATTCAGTAACGTACTCTTGTACTCCTTCTCCTGTTTGTTGCATTCGTTTGCCGAACTTGTAACATTCCGCGATTTCTAATTTTTCCGGTGCATAAAGTTCATGTAATTTATCTGTTAATTCTTTGTACGAAACTTTCGATAGGTCTGGAACATTCATATGCGTGTGTAAGGTATCATATGCTTTCCCACCTATGTGTAGCAGCAGGTAGCACACTCTCTCCTCGTTCTTAATGTTCAGAACGGTAAAAGCTAATTCCGTTCTCTGTAGCCACCGTTCCCAAGTCGTAATATTTGGGTCGAATGTTTCAAATTTAATCTGATTAAGCATTGTAGGTTGTGCCGCTATTGTAGGTTGTGCCATTTTTGTACTTTATCGTATATTCTTCGAACTCGTGTTGTAACACGCCACGTGGTCTTCTAGGTTAACCCTTGTACCGATTTTACTTTTGTAATTTTTAACACTCGAGAAATCCCATCCTCGTCGCCATTTATGTTGTAAATCGAGGGATCGGATAGGTGTAGGTCTAACTACAATTGTAACTACTTTCCTTCCCTTGATTATTATATATTTTACCTTGATCCGTTTACAGATTTCTCGAGCTTATTTCTACACACACTCTAACACACCGGCACGGCGACCACACACACACACACATGCCCCTCACTCCACGACGTATATGCCCCCTATCTTAACACTTCCCTTCGTGGAGAAAAAGAAAATTTCTTCATGTAACTGTATTGTGCATATGGTTTATAGGTGTTTACAATGTCTATTTCTAATTCGTAGTCATTTAAGTAACTCGGTTTCCTTCTTTGTCTTATCGGTCTTGTTTGTATTGTTTCCGACGTTGAAGTTTCCTGAGTGAGGTTCCTACTTGTACTTTCTTCCTCCTCCTGCGTAATCCCTTGCTGAGTTACCGATTCTGCTCGTGATCTTACTGGACTTGTATTTCCTGTATTTATAA